GAATCCACCTTCTCGGTTGAAATTTTCTCTGTTTGTATATGTGGATGGCCTCATAAATGAATCTCTCATGGTAGCCAGATGCCTTGCAGAGAACCTCAGTCTTGGAGAAGTCAAAGTCATGTGAGCCCACTGAATTATAACAATGATCTGCCACGGCTGAGGTGTTGGTCCTACCGTGTTTCAGGTCTGCTTTATGTTCACGGATACAGTCCGAGACATGTCGTTTGGTTTCTCCAATGTAACTGCTACCACAGAGGCAACTTTGTTTGTAGATGCCAGGTTACTGTATGTCTGGAATCACATATTTTACAGACGGGACCAGATCACGGATTTTATGTACTGTGTTGAATCGGACCTGGATCTTGTGTTTATTCAGGATTTTGGAGATCTTTTTTGTGACCCCTGCAATGTAGGTGATGGTTTTGAATGGCTCCTCAAGATGGTCCTTCTTCATGGTTGGAGTGATGGCTTTGCGGATTGTGTAGTCGGAGTAACCATTAGCCTTGAGAGCTTGGTGTACGTGCTTGAGTTCACTGGCAATGTGTTCCTGGTCGGAGATGCATTGGGCTCTATGGTGTAGAGTCTTGATGAGGAAATTCTTCTGGGATGGATGGTGGTGGGAATCCGGTTTTAGGTAAGCATCCGTATGGGTAGCTTTCCTGTAGACGTGACTTTACCGAAAGAACCAAAGAAGATTAATTCTCCTGTTTGATTTGTACTAGGTGCCTCTGTGGATGTGTATGCTTTGACTTTAACATAGCAATTTCTGTGACCAGTCACAAGCTAATCACTCAGCTATTTCAATGCTAAATATAGCAATTTCTGTGACCAGTCACAAGCTAATCACTCAGCTATTTCAATGCTAAATTCTATGCTAATTCCTTTGTCAAGGGGTGCCTCTGTGGATGTGGATGCTTTGACTTTAACATAGCCATTTCTGTGACCAGTCACAAGCTAATCACTCAGCTATTTCAATGCTAAATTCTATGCTAATTCCTTTGTCAAGGCGCTCTGTTTCTTCTCACACAGCTTAAAGGTCGCGGTCTGAGCTTGGCTGTGTTCGCTCCAGCGCTGTCCTCCAGACAGTCTCGTCCCTTCACCTGATGAAGGCCGCTTGTGTTGTGGCCGAAACGTCGTGAGAATTTTATTGTGTTATTTTATTTTATCAATTCATTCTTTTATTCTCATTCTACGTGACTTTACCGAAAGAACCAAAGAAGATGAATCCTTGCAGTCACGAAAGCTTTAAATCGAAATTTAACCAAAGAAGCATAACAATTGTCAGGTGACTGGGTGGCTGTTTGGCCTGATACCATTTCAGAGCACCGAGTGAAGGAATGTTGTGTTCCTGGGTTCAAATCAAGGCAACCACATGTGATCAAAGCAAGTTCTCGACTGTGTCATTTGAGAGTCTCAACTTTTTTTACCAATAACATATTTTTTGTTAATTAATTTGATATTTCAGTTTTGAGGACTAATTTATTTTTTTGTTGTATTGCTAAGAGACAAACACCTCTCTAGCAGGGCATGCATGAAGCTTGTTTTTTTTGTTTAACAAGGTGAGAACTCAAGGAACCAGGATAGTCTCATTAAACGTGGTGGAGAGATGTTATCTCTCTCACCTAGTATGCAGGTAGTCGTGGGTTTGATCCCATCCCTGACGTCTACATATTTCGAGTTTGCATGGTGTTTCCGTGGTAGTGTTGATTTTTCTTTAGGTCCTCCGGTTTCTTGAAATATGCGTTATTTGGCTGCCATAAATTTCCACATGATAAGCCACTTCGTTGAGCGATCGTTTGTTGCTATATCACAGCTCAGTAGGCCTTATCTGCTAAAATTAAAAAAAAAACTTGTTTAGTTTTAGTCGAATTTGCAAGAGTGACCTGGAGAAGGCAGACCACCAAGTGTGGATAAGAGGCAATTTGAAAGGACATCAGAAGTAGTTACATGAAGTCGTTCCCTTCCAGAGTCCGGTGTCTGACGTGGAGCGATGAAACTAATTCCTGTGAATTTCGAACATAAATGTCTCCGTCTCATTGCATGAGACCAATGGCACAATTTGATTTGGGAAATTAAAACACGATTGCGTGTCTTAAAATACATTTTAATGGAAAACTTAAAACACTAAATTGCACTGACAAAAGATGAACTGGAAACCTATTTTCTCATGATATATGACCTGCTTAACTGTTCGTCATTAATGTTGCCCATATGATGCCCTTCTTTATGACCACATGCACCTTTCATGTGCGTTGAATAAGGGACATTGCCCGAAACGTCACCAATTATCACTACTATAATGAGCCAAGAATGTCTGTGTTCCGCACGTGACGTCACTCCATGTCAACCAGCCCCCTCATTAATAATCATGAACAGGTTACGTCCTCCACATGGACCCCCCCTCATTAATAATCATGAGCGGGTGACCTCACTCCACATGGGGGGGGGGGGGGGCGAGGCGCCTCCTCCCCCCTCCTCATCGTCAACGTATAACCCTCACTACGAAGGCAGAACCCTCACGTCACGTGATCTCCGTGACGCTGTTGAGACATAGAAGTAAAAAGGACGTCATGATGAAATGGGATTATAACCTTTAAATTAAATAAGTCTGTGTCACTGCGCCCTTACAAACTTCACACGAATTGATGCAATGAATATCACGTCGCGGTCTAATTTTTGCTTGCAAGTTTCAGATTTACTGCAGTACACCCGTCCTTGGACGGGCAAAAGGTGATGGAGCAGTCTTGGTTAAATCACGGTCACCAGCACGTCAGATGGAATGATGAGACCACCAGGAGGCAAACTCTGATGATCACCGTGCCTGCGATGGTTTGATTTGGATGATCGGCACAGCAAGATATGCAGGTGCATGTTCCTGCACTTTCCCTCATCATTTACAGTGGTGTGGACTCGGAGCTTAGCAGCCTATTGAGATACACATAAACAACGTTATACACGCTGTGAATTACAGTATATAATTAATGTGACTGTTGTGTTCAGACTTGCAGATGAATGAAAGAGACAGGCAGCTCCTCAGCAACCCTTCCATATAGGTGAGGGCTGGGAATAAAATACCTCACCCATAAAAATATCAGATGTGGTGACACGCGCCTGTCACCAATGGCTTGGAGGTGGAATTTGTGGATCACACCAAGATGGAGCCATTGGGTACATGAGACACCCACCCGTAGAGTAATACGACAGCACCTACAATTACATGTTGAAATCCATCAGCTTATGGGACTTATTTGTATTAGAGTCCAGCAGTATTTGTTAATGAAAAAATAAATAATTTTGGGTTGCCAAATGTTATTGAAGAGTGCACTGCACCTTCAGGATGGACTTTTTTTAGTGCTACAAAGCAATGCTGTGTTGTATAGAACTGACTAGGGGGCTATGGTGGTGAGATATTAACTACCTCGCCTGGTATACAGGAGGTCGTGGGTTCGATCCTGACCCTGATGCCTTTATATTAGGAGTTTGCGTGTTCTCCCCGTGTTCTCGTGGATTTTTCTCTAGGTCCTCCGGTTTCCCCCTCCACATTTAGAAACATGCGTTTATAGTATTCGGCTATGATACATTTCATCGTGATGAGCCACTTTGTTGAGCTACCATTTGTGGCCAGGTCTCTTCTGAACAAGAGCTGCATAGCTCAATGGGCATTACCTGGTTAAATAAAAAATAAATTACAATAGTTAATTAAACCACGCACCATTGTGGAACATTGTACATGCATCGCCGTTTTTTGTCAAGTACACCACTAGCCAAGAGCCTCTCCACAAGTTGAAGTCCATGAATCATATTCGATCATACTTCACCGCTCTGGTCACTGTGGGTTGGATAAGGTGCACAGCCCTCTACTGTCCACAGCGTATAGTATAGTGTCCTTGGGTCATGGATGTCACCCATCCAAGCGATATCCAGGCTCAGCTGAGATTTGATGAGATCTGGTATTTTTTTCTGTGGAGCATTATGGATAATAATAACAAATATGCCTCTGTTTTGTTTGTCCACATGAAAGTATTTTCGGACATCAATCTGAGAACCTTCCAGACTGTCATCCAGCAGCATTTGTTAAAGCAAGCAAACTCATGTACCATCGAGTTGATTTCAAATATGTGGATTTTTACGTTTCAATACTGAAATATATTAGTAGCTTTTCTGAGACAACATACTTTATTGCTGGACTTGGATCGGTCCATTACAATGCAATTCTGGACAATGAAACTGTTTGACATTGGCAGAAAAGAGGTGGCCAGGTGACTCAGCGGCCTAATTACCAGCAGTGCACTGAGCAAATACAATTTGGATGTGGTTAATAATTGTGCTCAATTAAAATTGAATCCATGCGCAAGTGAGCAGTGGGTAAATTAATCTTTTATCGACGGTCCCTCGCCAGTGTGTAATTTTAACATTCCTTGGCCAGGCCAGTCTCCCAATATGATGACTACTATGAAAAATAAGAATAGGTTTTACCCTTTGTGGCAAAAAAGCTGTTAAGATGTTCAAACACCGAATAGATACCTTTTGCAAGGCATCACGTCTGTATTGACCACACGTACTTGAAGTGAACATGCAAACAAACTTGCTCTGGTAATATATGATGCATTGTCTTTGAAACTGATATGCCTACACCAGAGACAGCCTTCTTTATGGACTAGTATCACCAGTGTGAGACCAGAGAATCCCAAAAGGCAGACAGTACAAAGAAAATGCACGTATGAGAGCATTCATAGCTCGGGGTGAGCAGCTATATCATACCTTTTTGCCAGTAAAAAAGTATGAAAAATAAGAATAGGTTTTACCCTTTATTGCCAGAAAGGGTAAAACCTCTTATTTTTCACACTTTGATACTGACAAAAAAGGCCCCATGATATGATCACTACTGTTGACTTCCACACTATGACACGAATGTTTATCCATCTGGGAGAAATACTGGGCTGAGTCAGCCCTTGACCGGTTGTTTGTTATTCTTTCAGAACATTATGCGTCGGATCAGGATGAATGTCCCGCTGCCACCAGAGCCCAGGCAAAGGGATCCCATGCAGGATTTCGACGTTCAGGTTGTTAATTACATCACTGTGGAAAGTCAACTCCAGCAGCACATGGCCGTGGCATATAATGAATAGCTTTGAGGTGATCTGTGCCAACAGATAACACGTTAAACAAGTCAATCTAGCGTGAAAATGGACACTTAATTAATAATATGAAGAGCCCAGTCGCTGTGGCAAACATTATAAAAGCACAATTAGAAGATATATTGGAAAAGAAGCAAAAATATATAAAAGGTGACGAAAATATATTTTTTTAATGTAGGAATGTCAATACATATGTTGGCATAAATGTAGGCTTGTAAAAAACGACACTTTCATAAAAATGTAAGGTTTATTTAATGAAATTCTGGCACAGATGTTAACTACCTCGCCTGGTATACAGGAGTCGCGGTTCAATCCCGATACTGACGCGTGTATATTTGGAGTTTGCATGTTCTCCCGTGGATTTTTTTCTCCGGGTCCTCCGGGTTTTCTCTCCACCTTTAGAAACATTGGTTTCGATTATTTGGCTTCTATAAATGTACATGTGACAAGCCACTTCGTTGAGCTATCATTTGTGGCCAGGTTGCATCTGAAAAATAGCTATATAACTCAGTGGGCCTTTTTTGGTAAAACATGTTTTTGTGTAGTTGGGATTGTACCAGAGCAGATAGAATTTCCCCAACTAAACTCATGCAGTCACTGAATTTGTTTCGTCAGGATTGCGTCTGTTCGAATAGACCACCCCCCTCCCCCCCACGACCGGTACAATGCAGAGCGCTTGTGTTTCACCTACGTAGACAGCAGCCAACGGGCTACGCGTGCTGGAGCTGACCGAGCAGAGCCTCAACATGTTCGAAAACCTGGCGAACAATGAGCTGCCGCACGATGACTGCCAGTTTGCGTTGCAGCGTCTGCGACAGCGTGTGGTGGAGACGCGTGCCACAGCGGAAAATGGTCTGAACTTTAATTCCATCACGAGACTCATCTGCACCATGCTTTAACTCGCCTATAAATGTATGTTGAACTTCTTTTGCACCATATGAAGCCAACTATGCTCATCGTATGTGCGGGGGAAGGACAACAAACTAAACACAAAAAGCAGTTTAAAAAAAGTTTCCAATCGAGATGATTTAAGAGCGCATAGCTCCAGTGGCTTCCGTATATCGGAAGCAAGAGCATTCCAGACGGTTGTAGAAGCGCATCTGAAAGCGTGCAATGCAGTGACCGTATTTGTTCGATGGCCAGCCAAAAGCCACTGCGACGAAATCAGCAAGGTATTGTGGTTCATTTGTGGCAAGCACTTTGTGTGTAATGAGTGTGACCGCATCACCCCAATCTTCAGATCTCTTCACTGGCTGCCAAGCCACTGCCAGACCAGCTACAAGGCTGCCCTCACCGTTTCAAGATCAATCATGAATTGATTCCCAATTGTCTTATTTGTCATCTTCTCCAGTAAATCTCACCCACTCTGTCGCTTCTTCTCCTTTGTTGCCTCCACTGTCTAGAAGTAAATCCACCTGCCACCCACACTGCTCACTCCACTTCTTTTCAAATCTTTCATCGTCACTGAACTAATTTTCCCTTTTTTCCCCTCACGTATTATATACTAGTCTTTCCCTCGAAGCCCATACCTTAGGTCAGGGGTGGGGAACGTCCGGCCCTAGGGCCGTATGAGGCCCGCGAAATCATTTGGCCTCTGACCCTGCCAAGGCAACCGCAGGCGGGACTCGAAATTCAATAAATCTAGGAGCAAACCTGGAAAAGCAGTTGCGAGTAGCAACATCATCAATACCGGCTAACATCATCACACGCCTCACCAAAGAGAAGCAGTTCCAGCCATCACATTAGGGGCGAGTTAATTCAATGTATGACCAAATATAACAGGCTAATTTTTAAGTTGATAATTTTGAATGGCCCGCGAATGATGTTATAAATATACAAATGGCCCTTGGCAGAAAAAAGGTAACCCACCCCTGCCTTAGGTGAACGCAAATAATGAGTGTGCAGTGAGTTGGAACCTTGCCTCATATAAATTAGCTCGAGTAGGATTTGCAGTTCCATTTATAAGGTGCTTGCCTCAGAAACTCGCATCTTCCATCTCATCTCAATCATTCCAATACTTAACTTTATTTTTAGCCCAGGGGAGCCCCTGATGGCAGCTGTCCCCATATGGCACAAGGTGAACACAGCCCCAGGCTGCAAGTGGGTAGTAGTTTGCCAGTTGCCCGAAATGTTTCTATGGGTTTTATCAATTGGGTAATTTGCAAATATTTGTATTTATTTGAAGCATGACCCTAGTGCACGTGGCCTACTCTTTTTCCTAATCGCGTCACGGGATTTGTCACATCCACTGTGGAGCATACGGCATATATTTTCTGGTAATACACCCACGGCATTAACCTGGGTGGCCACGGGGATGAATCGTGAACCTTGCCAACGAGCGGCAATGCCACCGCCAACAACAACTTCTGTTGCTTCCACCGTTGCTGATCGGGGTGTGGATCATTCGTTGTCTTTGCTGTGCAGGTATCCCAGTGCAGGAGCTGCAACAGGAAGTACCAGCCAGTGCCACGGGACAGGGAGTGGGGGAGTGGAGCGCTCTTGAACTGCACAAACTGCGATAACACCTTCAGGTTGACGGCGATAAAAGGGACAGCTTGTATGTGTGTATTGATGCATTGATTCGCAAAGCTTACGTGAGTGTGCGCGTGTGCGCATGAGATCCGGTGTTTTATAAATAAAAAATGTATATCGTAATACGAGAGGAGCAAACCATTTAAAAGAATGTCACCACTCAAATACATTTGCATAGTGATGTAGAGTATAAAGTGGGGGGTGGGGGGGGTGAAAGCGAACTGAGAGCAAATCCTCTGGAACCACAAAAGCCGTGTTGAGGACAGATAGTGGCAGCAGGCAAGGAATGAAACGCATCTCAGAGAGCGTCCACTGCGGAGATGGAGCGACGACATCGGCTCGCGCACAGGTGCTCGTGTTCGGTGGATTATTAAATTGTTTGGGGGAGGCCTTCATCCGGCAGTGGATTGAACATGGCTGCTGATGAGAACGGAAATAATTGAAAATAATTAGCGCAATGTATTTTGTATACGATTACGAAAGTAGTAAATAAAGAGCATTATCAAAATAAACAACATATTAACAATGAAGACGTATCAAATAAACCTTCTGAAGTGATCACAAGCATGGAACAAATCGATGGGGTCGTCAAGACCTTCCCCAAGCATCGCACGTCTTCTGATGCCCTGGGCGCTCATGGTTCAGAAGGCCTTACCAACTATATATTGTTTTAAACTGCCTCTAATTTGTCCTGCTGTCGTGTTTTTGTATTGTGGTTGTAACGTTCTGATCCGCCCCTAACTGGACGTCTGTGAAAAAGAGCTTCATAGCTCATGGGATTCCTCCAGTATAAATCAATATTCTGCTTGTTTGTGAGCAGCGGCTGGGGACAGATGGGCGTGCCGACATCGCCGTGCCACCGGTGCCAGGCGGCGTGTGGCCCACGCGTGCAGCGCCCCGACACGCACAGCGCTGCGCGCCCTTCCGGGCAGCAGCTCAGCTGCATGGCCGAGGACTGCTACAACCCCAGGGTGAGCGCAGCTGGAGGGCCACAGCGCCACTCCGCCGACTCTCGCGATCGCCAGCCACGAGCATTAATAAGCGACGATCCAATTCACTCTGTCTCGCAGACCCGCAGGAGTTTTGCGGGGGGGAGTGGGAGGGGGGGTGATGTTGCTGTGCATTTCTCCCAATGAGTGGCTTTTGCAGACAATTTGCACAATTTGGACCGTGACGCCGACATTCCCTCCCATCGTCTCTTTCCCAAGATCTTGTAACCTCGCTCAATGGAAGAAATATATTGTGGTTTTTCAACTTCAGGAGTGTTGTTTGTTGATAGCCGATGGGCATTTTGGGCCTGTGCTAAGCAACTGTGGTAGAAAAAAAGATTTGGCCAAGGCAGCATATTGTTCCGGGAGTAGTTACCGACAGCATCCCGATGAAGAAATTAACACTGCACTAAAGCGCGTGAGTGAATCGACATAATTCTCTGATCCGTTCTCTATACCACTATCGTTTTATCAGCATAATATTAACATAAACCTCACTTTAAGACATCATGACATGCATAAATAACCAACCCAATAAGTTTTGTTGCTGTAATTGTTTGGGTGGAGCAGTACAGTAGCATTTAACACGTACCACTGATGAAAACCCCGTGACCTTAAGTTTGATTCTCAGCCAAGGCTAACGTGAGCGACACTTGAACCAATCCTATTTAGTTTGTTGTCCTACCCCCGCACCCCCGTTTAGCACGTTCTCTACGTACGGTGTGAAAGAAGTTCAACATACATATTCATTGGGTAACAATGATTACGATGACAAGTCTTGGCAGATGGTTGACGTTGGATGACGATCACGAGAGACGGAGATTGGCTGCCTCATCATGGGGGTGGTGAGGACGGATAGGAATTGGCTGACGACGATGGTGGTGAGCATCTTTGTAACGATGGCAGTGGTGAGGATAGTAGTAGAGACGTACGTACGTTGAACTTCTTTAGCACCGTACGTGGCCAACCGTAGACGACTGCGATACGCTGGTGGTAGTGTGGTGAGAGTCTCAGGTCGGTGTGCTTTGTGCACCGTGAGCACGCGTGGGAGGGCCCCCGGGTCGCACTGTGCACGCGCGCACCCTGCACGTGACGAGGCGCGTCACGTGCTGTGTGCACGCGCGCACCCTGCAAGTGACGAGGCGCGTCACGTGCTGTGTGCACGCGCGCACCCTGCACGTGACGCGCCTCGTCACGTGCTGCACGCGAGCGAGCCGCACGTCAGCAGCGCCTCCACCACGGTGGCCACGTGCATCAGCCAGGGCAGCCTCGTGGAGCACGAGGACGTCCTCATCGAGCAGGACCTCTTGGAGGAGGACGAGAATTGGCGCCACTGAGCGTGCCGCGAGCGAGGTTCCAACGCGAGTAACGCGCGAGCCTCCTCCGCGCCTTTGCGTTGGGTCGTGTTTTTAAATCGAGCTGTGAAAGTGCCTTGTTTTCTTCAGCTTTTAAAAAATAGCAGTTGCCTAGAGTTGATTTGCTTTTAACCGAAGCACAATATTTACACTGCGTTTCTAAAGCCAACGATGACCCCTTGTTTATCGAAGATGGGGGTGGATAACGGCGCGGTGGTTTTCGTGCATTGCGCTGTGAACCCAGCGAAGCAAGTTCGATCCCCGGCCACCGCTAAAAAGCAGTGCGGAGTGGTATCTGAACTGGTCCTGGATGCCCCCTTTGTTAAACAGCACTGACAAGCTGAGTGAAGTATGGTCAAACATCCCTCGTGAACAGCACTGCTTGAGGATATTTGACCATTTCTTTTTTGGCCCAAATTTTTATTCATAAAAAATATATTTTATTCCACATCCTCCCTCGCATCGTACATTGCAATATTTTGACACTCCGGGCAGCAGTTCCAAGGGGCATCTAAGGTATCGGGCATTACACGTGCTCTTGTAATTGTTTTGATTTTAACCGTGTTTTTGACTTTTTGTGTTTATTCACATAAACAGTGATGCGCACGAGGTGAAAAATGTTACGAAAAAAAAGTATTTACAGTCGGCATGTGAGACGTGATAACAATGGCTCTTTCATGCATCATGCTATCGTGCTGTGTAGTCAGAGGGAAATTCAGTAGGTACCTTGAAACACGCCGTAATTGTTTCTGAGGTGGGGTGGTTTATTTTAATTGTATCGGTTAGTGGAGGTCCACTGGCCAACTGGAGGGCATTTACTCTATAGTGGCTAATCTGTATGCTTGGCTGTACGTTTGTTTCTGTAATCTCCACGAAATTCAATTAACAAGGAGTCATTTTAAAACTAAAGTAGTTTATATTATATTAAAACAATACAAATACTTTTTACCTGATAAATCTTCTAATTTGGCGTTTCAGGCCCCTCGGACTGCTTAGCTGCTCTATCATTTACAATAGCTTGGCATGTGATGGCAAGCTCTTGTAAATTCGTACAATAGATAGGGTTATAGAGGGCGGGGTGGCACAGAGAGCTGTTGAAACTTAATGCCTTCTCTTTAGTCTCCAATAAAACCACCTCCATAACAAGGATCAACAACTTATATACAGCACAGCATATCTATTTGATTTGTAAAATCAAATACACTTGTATGTACGTGTAGCGCAGGGACGTACGGTCAGGGGAGGCACAGCCTCACCTGTCATACTCCAATGAGAATAGCTGTTACGAAAAAAAAGAATAATCAAATAAAAATGTACATTTTCCCACTGATCTGTGTTATAAATGTAATTTCTGTACAATTCCAAACATTTTTTATAGTCAAAGTCGCCAAATTTGCGGAGCTCCGCTGCAAATACAGGAAGAGACGAGAGGTGAGGCAGTGACGCGCTCAGCCTCCCCTCTGATTGCGCAACCCCTGTTCTGTAATGCTGCGTGTTTTCATAAGGCGAATTGGATATAATTCTATGAATGTATTAGGGAACACATTTTTATAACGCGCATATGAATTGGTTATAAAGCAATCGAGTGAACAGAATTACGTTGCGCGAGTAGGAACAAGCAGTTGTAAGGCGACCTCGGTGTAGCATCACACAAGGTGGGATGCTGCTGGATGCTCTTGATGCTACCCACACGCCTCAGTCTTTGTTCAGGTTGCGTACGCACATCACGTGTTATCGCAGACATTGCTTTACCCTATATTATGCAGGGTGCTTCAACATTTTTTTAACACTTATATGGGACTATCGTTTTTAATGGAAAAAGAACGGATAATACACTGTAACATGATAAAGAAATGTATGTTAATAGCTGCAAAAAGTCAAAGAGTCTCCGCTTGTTCGCCATCATTGTCAACACATGCCTGGAATCTTCTCTAGGTGGTCTCCAGAGCCCGGAGGCACATTTCTTGTGGTATTGTTGCACATTCTCACAAGTATTAAAACAATTTAAGCACCCCGTACATTATTGTAACGCGATTTTCCACAACGCGGTGTTCTTCAGGAACGCAACTACCGCGTTATAGGAGAATAGAACTGTATAATCATGCAGGGTCTCGAACTCAGGACACTAGAGGTCGACTAAATTTAAGCTCGATTTCAATTTCGAAGGAATATTTTAAAAAGCCATTCAATATAAAACTGCTACATCTTCCGTGTCGCTTCACAATGAGTTTATGGATAGGAAAGGGGTAGGGGCAAAACCATTTCTGCTCGGGGTCACCAAATAGGCCAGCACCACCTGAAACCACTGCCTGAATGTGCCACGAGGAGACGTTTCAATGTCTTGCGCTCGCAGTCTCAGTCTCGCATACTAGACATGAAGCTCATGGTCCACCCTAAACTGTATCCACTGCACAAACCACGGTAGTAGATGCGGATACCTGATGCACAAGTGGAAAATTAAAAACTCCCCAGTAGTGTGTGACTGTGGTCATCCAGAACAGACCGTACAGCATATAACGACGCAACGCCCGATCCACAAATACGAAAGAGACATCACAGTGATGATACACTCCACTGCTCTTGGCGCGGTTGTCTGGCTTGACCACCTGAATGTGAGATTGCAGTTGTTGCTCTGCGTCTACATTAGCCATGCGAAAGAAGATGAAGACCCATCGCCCAGCTTGAGGGCGGGGTGGGGTCTAAATCAGGAATTCACCATAAAAACACATGATTTCAGTAAAACAAATCCATATGATCGCGCAAGTGCGTGTCACATAACGGCATATCAAACACAATGTGACAACGAACTCACCTGCGATATAGCAAACTCAAGGTATCCGTGTGCTACCGATTTTGTCTTTATAGTACTGTATTCGCTATTCATGGTTTCCTGCTGCAACAAAAAATGTTACAGCAATTGTTTTTACCTTTAGCTGGATCCAAGATAATGGATGGAGTGATGATGCAGTGGTTCATGCACTGCGACATCTGAGTTTGATTCCTGGCCATGGCTGACATCGGTGACATCTGAACAGATCCTGTACCCCCCCAACCCATACCGAGCAGCATGGTAAAGTATGGTCGAACAATAAAAATGACCGACACGGTGTGTGGAGGCCCTTGTGCAGCAGTGGACTCGCAAATGAGCTGTAAGGTTTGCTTTTGTAAATGAAAGTGTATTTTGGCATAAACTGAAAAATCTGAGTCTTGCTGCTCCAAACGAGCATGGGGTGCAATGCCATTCTGTATGCAGCTCTCAGCAAGGTGGTCAATATTCCACATTCCTTTGGGAGGGAGAAACTCGATGTAACCACCACTTCTGCCCCGCCCACTCTCGTCCTAGGCTCTGTGTTCGATGTGTTCAATACTCACGTGGGTCTCATTCCTTTGACATTTCATGGTGCTGTTTGTTGCTGGACGCTTGGCGTCTTTGGGACTCTGCTCAGATCAACTTTAATATTTTGATTGTGTGGAATAACCTCCAATATTTGCAATTAATCAATTACACTAATATTCGATTCTGAAGATTGCAATTTAACCGCACTGTATAGCAGCACTTTCAAAACAATTTTGCAATATGACCCTATTTGAATACAAAATTCCTATTAAAATGACAATAACCATAATTTAAAAACATTTCAAGTGACAGGATATTCTGTACGTTCATTTTGTGTCGGTATTATAGAACAACAAATATGAAAATTTTTGATAAAGAAATGAAGCAATAATTTGGACTCACCAGGTCGAGTGTCAAGACGCGTGTTGCTTGAGGCATGCGACACAGCTTCTCAAAATCTTGCGGTGTGGCTGACATTGTACATCCCACCTTCAGCGGTCACATCCAAAGACAGTGCACTCACTCACGTGTACACTACATGCTTGCAAAGGGCACCATCGGTTTCGAGGCACGCGTTAAGATGTCGGGGTTTGCGGATTCTCTCTTTTCCGTGAGAAAAAAAAACGTATCACGTGACATTTCAACGAGTTGTTTCGTTTCAGCCGCGGTCACATCCATTGTTTTAGGCTGGGCATTGAAATGGGTTTCGTGCCTAGTGACACCTTTTCACGTCGAAATCAGGGAAATTGGTTGCAAAGTGTGCGTCCAGACAGCTGAGGTGGTGAGTCTTCGCCCAAGTGGAAAGAAACTTTGGAAATTGAGTGGAGCCGGCAGTTCAACTTCAACAAACTCATCTTGCACACACCATCTCTCACGGATGCTGTGATTTGATCGCTCATTTGTATATTTGTGGTTTCATTGCAATATTTGCATTCACGTCGTTTCGTTTCCCAACCACAGGCGCGTCTCGCTTAACGAGCGTTCACCTTCACGAGAGTCTGCTATAACGCACAATTTGTTCGCAACACGAGAACATGTTCCCGAAACAAGCGGAGGCCGATCAACCAAACGCGTCCCGTGTTGGCAAGGGCCGCTACGCTACAACAATGGGATCGTATTACCACGTGCCCTGCGCCCAGCCATCAGATTCTCAATCTCCTGTGCTGCGCGTGCCGCCTGAGCACGTGACGCCTGAGCACGTGACCCAGGTGGGGGGCCACGTGGTGTTGGTGGCGGCACTGTGATGGCGGCGTGTGGGGAGCTACTCGCGACTCCCGCTCACGGCCAACACGGGTGACGATTGTATGAGGTGGTCCTGGGACACTCCGAGGTCGACTCGGCATCAAATGAGTACGGTGTGTAAACATCGCCACCGGGGAGACAAAGGCGGCCGGGCGTGGTGTGAGCCACCCCACCCACACCCGAGGATCGGCGGGCGGAGCCGCCATCGCAAATTCTGCCAGCCCTCGCAAACAACAGCGGTGGGTAAGTAAGCTCTTGACTATGCATATATTATTGTTGTGTTACATATAGATTTTATATATCAGGTATGTCGTCTTTTCTTTGTACCCGACGCTTAAGGGCTGCAGTTTTTGGTAGCGGCAAGTTTGAGTAAAACTCACGTGTACAGTATTTTGGCGGGACATGGTACTATACTAACATTCGTGGAAATATCACAGAATCGTTTTGCGCGTTACCCCCTCCCCCCACTTAGAGGTTCACTCAATGTTTATTTTACTTTCTATCGAAAACAAGTGTTAAGATAAGCGTTTAAAAGTCAAACTTAACCAAGTCGTCAATTTAAGTGTCTTTGGTACATTTATGTTCGTAGGTTTGAATATATTCTGTCTAGATTCGTTTAAAAAGAATGTAACTACGGGCCGTCCAGTTTGCAATCAGCTGCTCGTTCTACCCTCTCCGTGCTAATATTTATTTTCAGAGCGTGACTTACGGCATTCAAATTGGTAAAATAAAGTGCCCAATGTAACGTGGGTCTAAAGCCTTTTAAAGATTTCACTTTCAACTATATCCATGGATTAACGAATGTCCAAAATGTAAAACGCCATCTGTTAACCTCCCCATTATGTTGTCTGGCTAATATTTACCCGATTGTCCTCGGAGCAATGGTTCTCAACCTTCTCTGGCTACTATTAGCCCTCTTGTAGAATTGTGCTTCAACCGATTACCCTCGCTTGCCTGACCCATCACGGCTCTTGAGAAATAAATGTATGACTAATGGACATCAATGTTAACCAGTTGTCCATTTTGTGAGGTATCTCTAACTAGCCAGTAACTTGTAAGCGAATAAAAAAATCAACGGCGTAATTTGTTCGCGCTCGCTGGTTACTTTTGGAAACAACATTGTTGATAATTAATTTAGAAAGGTCTTTTATACCGATCTAGGTCACGATATGGACTTCGATGTTAGCGTCGTAATTTTCTATTGGCAGATTCATACGTGATTATTCACCAGTGACTAATGTTTGCTATAATTTCACACTTTTATAAATCACCTCACGTACCCCCCCCCGCCCGGTTGCGAACCACTGGCCTAGAGAAGCCATTAGTGACAGACATTACCATCACATCGACAGTGAGGATGGCTTTATGAGACCCAAGGCGACATGGAATGCACAAAAGACGTTTGAAATGCCAATGTGTTCTTTGCGCGGCATTGACCTGCAAGGCTGTGAGCCCGAAATCGGTGAAATAATGCAAAACGATCCCACCCAGTTGTGTCGCGTCATTTAAAATGACCCTGAAGAAGAATGCAGTCGTGTATTTTGACGGTACACTATATGAAATGCACAATCGATGATTCATCTAGATGAAGGGTGAGCAGTCAGATTCATTCCCTCACCCATGTTAACAATTTTGGTCTACCGCACCGACTGTTTGCTCTCATGTACACAGCGCACAGCGAATGATTTGGTGTTTCTACTTTGGCAGTGGTACACAAGCACAACAACAAATACATGGACGCATTCGTCAATAACACTGGCTTCTTCCAGGATAAAATATGGACAGTAAACCCTCTCAAACCACAAGGGTTATGTTCTTGAAAACGCGCGCGAATGCAGAAACCTTGTTGACCAGGAAAAATGGGGTTACGTTCCTGG